CCGTTTCCATCTGCAGCACCCAAACATTGTTTGTTTGCTTGGCGTGGTCACCAAAGAGCAGCCAATGAGCATGATTTTCACCTATTCCAGCCTTGGTGACTTGCATGAGTATCTGGTAATGCGCTCCCCTAACTCCGATGTTGGCAGCTCAGATGATGACAAGACAATCAAATCCACTCTAGAGCAAGCTGATTTTATTCATGTTATCACCCAGATTGCTTCTGGAATGGAGTACCTTTCCAGCCAGCAGATAGTCCATAAAGACCTTGCTGCTCGAAACATTCTTGTGTTTGAAAAACTCGGTATCAAAATCCTGGATCTTGGGCTATTCAGAGATGTTTACTCTGCTGATTACTACAGTCTCATGGGAACAAGTCCTTTCCCTATTCGTTGGATGTCCCCAGAAGCTATTAAGCATGGCAAATTCTCCACCGACTCTGACATCTGGTCTTATGGAGTGTTGCTGTGGGAGATATTCAGTTATGGTCTTCAGCCATATTGTGGCTACTCTAACCAGGATGTAATTGACATGGTGCGCAGCCACCAGTTACTGCCCTGTCCAGATGACTGCCCGGCCTGGATTTACAACCTTATGCTGGAGTGTTGGAGTGAAGTCCCAGCCCGGAGAACTCGCTTCAAAGACATCCATGCACGTCTGCGCTCCTGGGAGAGCCTGTCCAACTATAATGGCTCTGCTCAGGTGTCTGGCACTAGCAATAATACTACCCAGACCAGCTCTCTTAGCACCAGCCCTGTTAGCAACCTTAGCATAAATACAACAAGTGCATCAAGATACACCAGCCCTAAAAAGAGCTCACCATTCCATCAGCCCCAATTCATGCCAATAAAGGGTCAACTACATCGGCCAATGGTGCCCCCACAGCTCTACATCCCTGTCAATGGATATCACCCAATTCCAGCTTACCCATACCTGCAGAACTTTTACCCCATGCAAATACCGATGGCAATGCCACACCAGCAGATCCACCACCCACAACAAATGGTTACCAAATCAGGTTCTCAGCATAGTGGCAGTGGATCCACATCTACAGGATATGTGACCACTGTCCCTTCCAACACTTCTGCCACAGAGAGAACAGCAATGATAAATGAGAACTCTAAGACCAACGATGAAGAATTGGCTGATGGGGCATCAGAGGAAGAACTGAACCAAAACCAGGACTTGGCAGTGCCAGAAACAGAATTACTAGGTGAAAGTGAGGCTCCTCAGACTGAAGAATTGGCGATCCACTTGTCTGACACATAACTGAAGGACAGTAGATCTGAAATAATATGCCAGCTGTGCTATTTTTGCCCAAAATTCTATGAACACATTGAATGAAGGGAGCCATTTTTCCACAACCGTGAATAAATGTCTTTGTATATAGTGTCCCATGTTTGTACCTCTCAAACCCCTGTGATGAAGTAAAATGAATTGTGCTATTCCTCTTTTTTAAATGTTGCCATTTGGAAGAAGTGATATTCTTTCAGTTGCTGTGCAACATAAAACTTGTTCTTAACTTTAGAAAAGTATTTTAGAATTTTTCTTACAATGGTAGATTGTTTACCTTCTCTAATGCTCACGGTGTTACCAGATTTTTAATTTTCACGTGCCAGTGAGACAGTTTGTGTGGACTGTAATATGGATGATGATCTTGCCATCAGTGCCACCATTAACTCTTGGATGCCATACCTTCAACTTACTCATGGAAACTGATTGTTAAACGAAGGCTGAGATGATTCCTAAAAGACTTTGTTCATTGAAATGAAAAAATGGATATTTGATAACTCAGAAGTGAAAAGGTTCTACTGTGCTGAACAAGTGTTTTGCAACTCTTGTACCCCCAGTTTTTATGCTTGCTTTTTATGTTATTATTGTATTGTCTGTGAATGCAGAACAACAGTTTATGGTGTATAGAACTGATTCAGAATTGATTTTTCTTTCATTAAAATGGTTTCGTATAACACACATTTCCATCCATCAGAACAATAAAGGTTTACACCCTTATTTTGATCATTTTCAGGCCAGAGACAGTTTTTATTCCTCACGACACGTGTTCCATGAATTTGGTACTGTTAACATTAACTTTTATACCCAGCTGAATAGATCTGTAATTTATTACTTTGGTTTGATTTTTTTTTT